ACTAACAGACATATTGGAGCACATAAGCTTTCATGGGTGAATACACACTTCGTTGGACGCATGTGGTGGTAACCTTCAGAAGAATCCATTTCAAAGGTGCACTGGACTATACAAGAGAGGGGCAAAGAACCCCAAGTTATTACCTCAGCAGACAAATGAACTGAGCACTTTGGACTTTGTGGGAGATCCTGACCAGAGAAGTGGTCAGACATCTTGCTGCAAACTACCTTGAACAAAGGTTGTAGATCGTTTAGTTAAGTTTTAGCCTCTAGACAGCATTTTTTCACTTGTATTTACTTGTAACCACTTCTAACTCTATCCTATATACTTGAACTCACTTAAAATCCTATCTCCTTTTGCTAATAAACTTGTTTTACTTTTAATCTAAACTAACGCAGTGCTGTGTGGGTGTAAAGTGAATATTAACTCCAGTTAATGTGGCAAGCTGCTGGGTATTGTATCTTTAAAGGAACAAATGAATCTTAATATCTCTCTGATATTCCAGGAGAGGGCTGGGCATTGCAGATGACATAGTTTTGGGAAAATTCAGGATGGGGTGGTATTTGGGTCATCTGGCCAGGTGTAACCAAGATCAGAGTGTGGCAGCAATGTAATAAGCAATCAGAGTTGCTGAGGCAGACCTGCCTAACACTGTCTTTCTCTCTCTCTATCTCAGTGCTTGCTTTTATGCTGGCTGGAAGAATCCAGACAAGGGAACTACACTAGCAGAGTATTTGGAGGCATTCAGAGTTACAGGGCAGGAAGTGACACAACCCCTTACTGGCCTGGATTGCACCCCCGGAATGTGAGAGTGCATCAGTGACAATAACATGTTGCATCAAGAGGAGAAACAGCTCACACTTGAGCACTAAATGTCCAAGAAACAACAAATACTCATAAGCAACTGCAGCTGAGGACAGAAAAAAGCTGTCTGAAGAATGTCTGTGGAGACTTTGAAAAGAATATTGGGCTCAATCATATAGTTTCTGCATAGCTAAAACTGTTTCTGATGGGGCCAGGCCCACTTGGATCAGTTTGACCTAAGTCGCTGGAGATACCAGTCCCAACCACCATGCTCTGGAGCAAAAACTGCATGTAGCTCAACTTGCTCCAAAATATATAAACTGGGCATAGATGAGTGTAGAAAGCAACATCACAACACTGTCACCAGAAATGGAATTATTTGGCACCTGACTGCCTGGAGGTGAATGCTATCTATAGTCCCAGCACTATTCCAGTGCCCCTGAGATGTGATGCCTTAGGTGGCTGCCTATCATATCACTGTCTGACTCTTGGATACATTATACTCTAGGGATTGTATCCTGAACTGTGCCATTGATTGGTGTGTGACACTACATAAATCACTTACCCTCTCTTGTGCCTCAGTTCCTCATCTGTAATATGATCTCATTTCTGTTATGTATCATGGTAAAAATCAAGGGTCTTTCCGTTACTCTTGCTATCCAAACACAGCCATTTTATATGCTCACTGACATTTGTAGAAAATGCCACAAAGTAACAAAGCACTGTAAAAATGTAACTTCCTGCTTTTGGGAAGAGACTCCTGCTTTTAGCTACAATCTCTCATGTTCCCAGCTTCCACAAGGAGTTTCTCAGTTTTATCCCATTACATGTACTCCTGACTATGGTGTTTACCCAGATTTGTGCTGCCTACCACCTCATCCAACCTTTGAGTCAGTTAGGGAGACAGTGGAAGTCAAGATCAGCACGAATGAAGAATCACTTTGGTCATTTGCCTTCTTGGCAGCTTCAGTTAAGGACGGCTGTACCACCCCTCATGCTGTTACTGTTGTAAATGAAGGAGAAATCAGGGGTTGCCCTTAGTGGGGTAGGAGAGAAACTGCAGGGGGTGCTGGCATTGCAATCATTTTGTTGAAGAGGGAAGGGACATACAGTGACCACTCTTCCCCACCACAATTTCAGAAAATATCCTGTTTTGAAGATCTTCACCCCTGCTGTGCATGGAAGTCACCGGTTTGAGGTTTGTTCATACACACTTCCAGGGAAGTACATGTCTGGCTAATTCTTCTTGGTCTTCTGGCATCTTCTGGCTTTCAGTATGACCAGCATTTCTGATGGATCAGATTGGAACCTGTACCGAAACAGTGGCTGACTGACAGTGCAACATAATTTCAGGCAGAGAGACAGTATTTTCAGGAGAGAGCTCTAGCATTGGCTTGTCTTGTCTGCCCATGGTGTAAATGAGAGAGAGATTTATGTGAGCATGATATAACAGCATTATGGAGTCACGTGATCACCACATGCTGTTTTCACTGTGTACACAGCACAAATCAGCCTTAGTCATGTTCATCCAAAACACCATATGCCTTCCTCCAGCTCATTAAATGAGCACCTGACTCCCTGATCCCATGATCACACTCTTCACACACAACTCCTAATACTATATGGGAAAGTCAGGTATTTATTATGGGGTTACCTAGAGAACAGTATCAGAGACACAGTAGTAATTTGCATTTCTAGACTCTTATTTTACAAACATTAGTTAATTAATAATCCTCAACATCCACTGGGAGGTAAGTATTATTATCCATGCTTGAATGGCAAGGAAAGTAAGGTACTGGGAGGGAAAGACCAGACATTTCAAAAGTAGATCTTGAGTTTTGGGTGCCTACAGTTTTTGGGTGGGTGTCCAACTCGAGCACTCACAGCTTTTATTAACTTACAAAACCATGCTCTCAAGTGTCCCTTGCCTCTGTTCACCATAAGCTGGTAATGAGTGACACGGGATGGATCACTTGATGATTACCTGCTCTGTTCATTCCCTCTGAAGTACCTGACAGTGGCCACTGTTGGAAAACAGGATACTGGGTGACATGGACCATTGGTCTGACCCAGTATGGCTGTTTTTATGTTCAGTTGGGCATCCAAAAACAGAGGTCTCTGTTGAAAATTTTGATACAGAAGACTTGCCCAAGGCCAGAAAGGGAGTTAGCAGAAGAGCTGGAAATAGAAGCCCAGTCAGCATTCTGTCCTCACTGCTAAAGAACACTGCCTCTACTTGGGTGTATGAAACTGGTTTACTTTAGAGCTGTGGGATCCCTTGGGTTGAATATTGCCATCTAAATGGATGGTGTAGCAATGTAAGGGTATGTCTACACTAGCAAGTTTCTGCGCCACAAGTTATACCACTATTTTTAAACCGCTGGAATTAAACCGCTGTTGTGTGTCCACACTGTGCTCCTTGTGACACTGCAGCACACTCACATGAGCAGCTCTTGCAACGGCAAAGAGAGCAGTGCATTGTGGGTAGCTATCCCACTGTGCAACTGGCCGCAGAGTGCTTTGGGAAGGATTTGCAATGCCTCATGGGGTAGGCACAACGTCACATGATGCAGGTTTCCCAATCCCATTGTTCCAAGGGCATCCTCCTACACTGCCAGCTGCTTTTCAACTGAAGTGGGGAGGGAGAGTCTGTGTGTGTATGGAGCGGGGGAGAGAGACAGTGTGTTTTGGGGGACAGAGAGTGTGTCAGCATGCTGCCTTGTAACTTCAGACAGCCACAGGAAGCAACCAGTCCTGAGGCAGAGGAAGGGGGAAACCCCGACATCAGCCCCCACCTCCCTTCCTGGGCTCTGCATAGCAATGTCTCTCTCTCACACACACAGGCACCCACCTCTGTGTTCAACAGCACAAGAATTCCACATTAATGGTTTGCTTTTTGTCCCGGAGCAGATCAGCACAGCACCCAAAGACTGTCAGAAACAGTGCTTTGAAAGGGGAGGGGCGCGTGTCTCCAGGGCAGCCAAGTTCAAAACAATGAGCAGAGCGGCCACTTGAGGCATTATGGGACAGCTCCAGAGGCCAATTACAGTGCAGAAAGCAATCAAGTGTCGACACTGGCAACAGAGCGCTGGAGCCTCTGTGCAAATAGGCTTACGACTCTTGTCAGGGTGGGTTTTTTTGCAGCGCTGCAACTGAGGAGTTTCTGCACACAAACTGGCTTGGCAGTGTGTACACATCCGCAGTTTGAGCGCAAAAAGCGGCTTTTACTGCACGGAAACTTACTAGTGTAGACAAGCCCTAAGTCTTGGTTGGAATGACTCAATTATTGAGAATTGTAAGCACAAAGCCCAGGAAGATTGTGTCCCACCTACATAGTTAGGGGCAGATAAATTGAGTGCCACGTAGGCCTGTCAGTAGGTCTCTTGGATGAACCCTTATGTTAGATAACCATTGTTTCAGACAGGCAACATTCTGCATTCCAGTGTTGTACAGCATTATGTTTATGTACATTTGGAGCTATATACAAATACTACAGGACAAATAGCTAAGTTCCTGTCTGCACCGCATGGATGTTGCCTATCTCCTGACACTACATGGAGTTTGCATGGTGTCCCCTGCCTTGCTACAGAACACGATGTTTAGACCTCTACAGCAGTGCTAAATGGAGAGCAAACAGCAAAGAATAGAAAAAAGAAGATAGCACGATTTTTGTTTTATTAAAGACTAGTATTTAGGGCTTCCTAGATTCCAGGCCTTCACTCTTGCTTGTACCCACCCCTCAGTGATCTACGCCCCAATGGGCTGAGAGGACTCTGCTCCTATCTAATCCTTCTCAGGGCTGTGGGGATCCTGCCCCTACCTGATACCCACCCCAGCACTGTGGGGACCCTGATCTACTCCCCTCTGAGCTGTGGGGATCCTGCCTCACCCCATACCCGCCCCAAGCGCCGTGGGGACCCGGATCTACTCCCCCATGGCCTGCGGGGATCCTGCCCCAGCGCTGCGGGGACCCGGATCTACTCCCCCATGGCCAGCGGGGGACCTGCCGCTGCCCGATACCAGTCCAGGCTCTTCTAGAACACACAGTCCCGCACTGTCATCGTCCCTCCCCCTCGGGAGCTCCGCAAGGCCCCACCGCCCTCTGACTCAGCACAGTTGAAGGCCACTGATTGGCCGCGTGCTGACTTAGCGCGGTAGAACGCGCCAACGGCGAACCGTGATTGGCCCGGGGTGCCGATGTCGTCATGAACCGCACGCGCGCCAGGCATGACTCGGCCAAGATGGGATCGGCCGAGCGGAGCGTGACTCAGCGGGAGGGCTGAGGGGTAAAAGGCCCGGCGAGGGGGAGGCTGGCGGTGGACTCGCGGCAGCGTCGGGTGAGTGCGGCCGCCCGCCCGCGCCTCGCCGTTTCTGGGCGAGCGGACTCACCCCTGGAGCGGTCCCGTCCCGGGCGGAGACGGGGCGCGGCTCAGTCGCGCTGCCCGCCCTTCGGAGGCGGTGATCCGTCCGCGCCGAGCGGAGTCCGGCTCCCTTCCCGGGGGGTTTCTCCCCCTGCTCGGCGGAGATGGCGCCTTGGCCTTCCCCACTGGCGTGACTGGTGGCTCTAGCCTCCCCCATTGTTGTCAGAGCTAGCGCTGGCTGATCCCTTCCTCTGGCCCAATTTAAGATCGCCCCTACAAAATGCTTTGAGGGGCGGGGGTGGGGGGGTGAGGTGCATCTGGCTTTTTGTATTGATACTGCAATAAACTAACACGCCCCCCCCCCCCCCCAACTTCATTTTTGAAGGTGACCGCTGAAGTGGTCAAGGAGCTTGAAGCATCTGCCGGCCTATGATGGAGTTTCCGGACTTGGGCAAGCATTGTTCAGAAAAAACTTGCAAACAGCTGGGTAAGAAGCACTTTGACTGCAATTACTGGGATAAAAAGAAAAGGAGTACTAGTGGCACCTGAGAGACTAACCAATTTATTTGTGAGCTGTAGCTCAGGAAAGCTTATGCTCAAATTGGTTAGCCTCTAAGGTGCCACTAGTACTCCTTTTCTTTTTGTGGATCCAGACTAACATGGCTGCTACTCTGAAACCTGAACTACTGGGATAGTTAGTTTACTACATTCTGTTATCTGCTTTAGTCCTGTTGGTAGCTTTTCATGAACCAAATGAACTGTCAGACAAGGGGTACTCTAGAAGTTAAGGTGATTTACTGAATGAAAGTCCAGATCTGGTTCTGGCTAGCAGTGGTGCACTGACATAAGATCAGCTGAACCCATAAATGCCCAAAGGCTGTGTGCCTCAAATCCTCTTGGGGGAAACCTGACTTGAGTTATGAGATGGAGACTCCTGATTTAGAGAACAGGAGTGGAGTGAATTTGTTTTCACTGCCAGGACCAGAGAAGTGTGACTAGACTATCTTGTCCTATTAAAATGTACCCATCAGTACTCTGAGAATACTTGCTTAGCTACACAAGGTATGCAATACTAATGTTGCTTACCCACAAACTAATACTCCCAGCACCTCCTTGGGAACAACCAGAACCAAATACTGCAACGCTGTCCTGAAGCAGAGAAACTTGAGATCAGAAATGCCTGTCTATCCCAAGGCCTTCATATCTGAGGACTGTTAAACCTGTCACATCTGATCTCTATACTAGTAGTACAGGAAGAGAGTCTTTCTTTTGGACAAGACTTGAAATGAGCTGATAGAGCAGTACGGATCTTGGAGAAGAGAGGCACTAAACAAGCAAGTAGTTCTGCTCTGTAGAAACTGTCCTACACTAAACTATTGCAGGTATCTGCAATAATCTGCATCTGAGATGTCTAGATTTGCAGCCAGAACTGAAATAAACCTCCAACCATCAGTGAAACCCTAGAATCCAGAGAAGCACCTCAGGCTGTGGACTCTGGCAAGACAGGATGCCTGTCAAAATATCTGGATTCCTTGTTGTAATGCATTGTCTCTCTGTTACTATGTCTGGATCAGCTATTAATTATGAGGATATCCCAAGAATAGTTGCAGATGCTACACTTCTATAAGCTGTCTCAGCTATTCACTCTTAACAGCTGGGAGACTTCTGTGTTTGGGTATAATAAAGTGAGCTAAAGCAAATCTGCTGTGACTTTAGGCCTAGGAGAGTACTTGGTGCCTCTGACTAATATGCCCCCAGAACTATTAGCAGCTGCTGTTGAGCAAGGACCTAGGGCAGTCTGTCTCATTGTATTGATGGTTTAGCAGGTCTTGCAAGTAACTTGTGGATTAAAAGGCAGAAGTGAGCCCTTTTAAACCCTAGCACTCTCAAATTGAGAGAAGCGTGTCTACTCACTGTTGCTCACTAAAATATACATCTTGGAATGGCCTAAACTAGTTCCTTGTAAAGGTGTCCTGGATTCTGAGTAACCAGACACCTGCTTTCATGTTGCCTACTTAATGCATGAGGAATCTACTCACAATGTTTAGTAACGCTTTAAAAGGTAAATGTCTGTCTTCCATATTTAGGACTTACAGGCATATAATGTTTTTCTTAGATTTCCTTCCTTTAAAATGTGACGCATGTAAGGAAGTTTTCTGTAAAGATCACATCACATACGACACACACAAATGTACCTCTTCATATAAGAAGGTAAGTGTCTAACAGTAATTCCAAATGCTTCCACTTAAGGAATTCTCTAGCTGTGAAGAAAGCCAACTTTGAAACCTGATTAGGAGTTTCTTGTAGTCTGCTTTGCTGCGTCTTCTGCTTGCAGTAGACTTGTTTAGTTTACAACTGAAATTAAAAGTTCAAACAGTAAACTTCTGTAAGCTGTAGCAAACCTGAGTGCATCCTGCACTTAAATTGGGGTCCCATAAAGAGTGCAGAGACAGTGCTGTACATCTTCAGCAATGCAGTGGCTATCAGTTGAGTTCAGTAAAGTTTCTCCAAATCTTAACTTGATAAAAATATGGCAGTGAACGTGAAACTACAGAAAAGCAAATGACTGAATACTTGATGGATGGAAAGTCTGATTAGCAATAACACTGGTCTAGAATATGGGTCTGTATGAGAACTGGAATTTGGGTTATCAAGAAAAGTTCTCATGTCTGTGTTCTAGCAATACAGAATTACTGGCCAGAATAAGTACAGTCTTATTTGAAATAAACACTTCAGCTTATCTAGGTCCAGAATCTGACTTGACTTAACAAAAGTCATGTAGTTAACAAATGTACTGTTTTTGTGCAGCAGTCTTCAAACTCTGGTCACCTATATCTCTTGCTGCAGTTGCTTGTGGTTCTAGAACCATAGTTGTACACCATACCTGGAAACTCAACAAAAGAACTTACACAATTGGGGCTAGGGAAGAAACCAAATCAACAAGGAAAGTGTACTCAAGATTTGAAAATTACATGATCTAAAAGCAAACTAGATGGGACAGCTAGCACAAACTACAATGATGTTGACATGGACTTCCTGTAGTAACTGGAAATGCAGAATCCAGCACTGCTGAAGTGGGTGTGCTGGAAGTTCTGAAGAGAACTTGGTATAGGAACGGAACGTCACTCAGTTCAGAATATTTCCCTCTCCCTTCAAAGGAAAGGGATGGAAATCTGAGTTGGGTCTTGCTTTCAGTCCCATTTCTAATAACTTCACTGTCTTCAGGATGTGCAGGTTCCAGTATGTCCTTTATGTAACACTCCCATCCCAGTGAGAAGAGGAGAGATGCCAGACATTGTAGTTGGAGCACACATGGACAGGGACTGCAAATATGATCCTACTCAGCAGAAACAGAGAGTAAGAAAACTCGCTTTGAAATCTAAATTGATGCTTATAGAGACAAGCCACCTAACTGCATAACAGTATGATACAGGCAGCAGCAATGCAAGCTCACTTACCTACTAGGCCTCAAGCTTCCTCTGGAAGACTCCTAGAAGAGATGCCCAAACTCACTTAAATTATTTGCCTGACTGTACTGATCAAGATATGAGCAGTAGTCCAATTAGTGGGTAGAGAACAATTTATACTGCAGACCAGTAAACAGTGATTCAGTGTGGTCATTAGCCTTTCCTGACCAATTGGGTTTGAACTGGTGACCAAACTAAAGGCTTTCAGTACCCAAACAATTAGTGCCTCTGGGTTCAGCAAGCGCTAATTAGTACTATTGCCAAGACCAGAAACTGTCACTCTTGCTCTGCACTATGGTTATATTTTGCCCAGTAAGCAGTATAGAATATTTAACTCTGAATTCAAGGAGTTGGAACAATCTTCTTTTCCCCCCTCAAACTGCTCTCTAAATTTCAGGTAAATCTAATTTAGAGGCCTGGGTGCCATCTTGGTCCAATTAGAAAATTAATTTGCCAGTAATGTGTGAAGTACTTGCTGCTTGAACTAAAACTGTCCTGGACTACATTTTTTAGATTTTCACAAACAAGTGCTTAAAAGAGGGTTGCAAAAGGAAAGAGATGATGAAGCTTGTTTGTAACCAATGCCATGGGAACTTCTGTATAAAACATCGGCATCCTCTGGATCATGACTGCAAAGTGGGAGGTCGCCCTATCTCCAAAGCAGGGTAAGGATGTTAAATTTCATAGTACAGGAAACAGGCTGAGGTAGGAAAGCAATTGCCTGAGCAAGGGGGAGACCATACCATTATCTCTGCAACTTGCAGCTAAATGAGTTCTCAAATGTTATCTCTGGGAGGACAGTTGGTCAGCTATCTCACTGAAGTATTTGGCTCCTTAAGCCCTTGTAGGACTGAATTCTGTGAGCAATTTGAGAACACATTTGGAAGGAAAGGGATGACTGACTTTTCTAGTGGTGAGCCTTTTGTATCAGACTGACTTCTCTAAGGCACCAATTCCCTTAGTATCCAAGTGTTACTGTAGGAAACAGAGTATAAACTTGAGCCTTTCTAATGGAGTAATATGTCTCTTCTAGGCACAGCTACCTTCCTTGCTCCATGCAGTAGTATTCTAGAGCAGTTGGGTGACCAGTTCTGCACAAATCTGGAAGTGGATGGATGTGTGATTGGTGGTGGAATAAACAGATGTTCAGCATGGTTCTATTTCCTTGTAGATATGCAGCTATAATGAGAGCATCAGGATCAAACAAGATGTCCTCTAACTTATCTTCACAACAGGTATAAACTGAAGTGTGGTTATGAGATTAGCAAAACAAGGTGACTTAAAACAGAGCCTTGTGTCTACAGAATGTAAAATTGCCATTGGCACTCCTTCCTTAAAACTTTATTATAGTTGCCAGTTGACATCTGAGCAATGCCAGGAGTGTAAAGGAGGGGCATAAACAGTCCAAGACATGGCTGTTTTGTCACTGTGGCAATTACACTTTGCATAGTGCATAAATGTGCAGTCAAATTGCTACTTATTACAATGACCTAGTAGCTGAGTCAGTCCAGCACTTGACATGGTCAAGATGTAAGAACTCATTATTGGGTGACTAATGTCATTAGTTCAGCCATCGGACTATTTCAACACTTAAATAATTATTCAAACTTTCCTGGTTAGGGTTGATCACTGCAGGACTCTAGCCTAAATCTGTAATTTAATAATTTCAGTCTGTTCTCTTTCAGATGCTGATGAGCTGAGGCAGTCCTAATGGCTGGATTAAATTCTCCTTTAAACTATTGTAAATGTATTGCCTAAAGCTTGTGCATATTTTTCTACAGTACAAATAAAATTATTTTATCTAATCTCTCAACTTCCAATAAATTGCTATTTCCTTTTGTAAAGGATAGTAATGTGTTCTCTGTATTTGGAATACCTCAGTCCTAAGAGAATAGTTAACATTTTCTCCTTGTAAAACCAAACAGGAAGGAAAGTGAGGAAGAAGGAAACCTCTGTATGCCTATAGCAGAAAGATACACTAAAGTAACAACTAATACCACACCTCCAACCCTGGGCTATTGCAATATACATCTGAAATCCATTTGGAAACAAACTGTAGTGACTAAGCAGTTTATAGTATGAACATGTCACCTGATTCATCTGTATTAGCTGTAGGGTGCAGTTTAAAGTAACTCCAGCTGTGAAGTGACTAAGTCAGACATCTGCCATGGACAGTCTGTGGGACTCCCTATGGGATGCTACTCAGCAGAGGTGTTTGAGCATAACTCCTCTCTAGAACTCACTTGTCCTGTACTTTAAAATATGAATAATTTTCAGGATGTACTACAAAGGTCAAGCTGCGCTCATAAGCAGTTGATTCGTTTGCTTAGTGGGAGGGGAAGAGCTGCCTTTGTATCTTTTTTTTTTCCTCCCCCTCTGTAGCATATGCACTACTCGGCCCCATAGCTATTTTTCACTGCTTATAAACAAATTATACCACATTTTCAAATGCAAAACTAAAGTCCTTCAGTAGTTACTGACTTTCAACTTCAATAGCTTCCTATGCCACTGATTTTTTTTTTTGTAAACAATATACAGCAGTTTAGCTTAGGAATTGAAAATAAGAGTTTCAGATGAGCTGGAAGGGCTCCTGGTTAATAAAAAAAAAAAAAATGTAACTACCTGAACTGGCCTCTAAGCAGGCCACTCCTCTAAACTTGATGCCAGGTGGTCAGGACCTCAATTTCATGTCTCATTGGAACAATGCCATCTCCACTAACAGCCTGTGACTCTCTACTATTATGTTGGAGCATTAGTTTAGAACTAATGGAGGCAGATTGGTATCTATTGAATCATCACTAGCTACACTGAGTTCATATTCAATCTTGCTCCTCTTGTGAAAGAGGAAGCTCACAGCACAAACTTCTGAACCAATAACAGGAATAATGGATTATCTGTTTTAAAAGTTGTCTTTTGCTTCCTGAGGCAGCAGTGAAGCGTAAAGGGATGCCTGTATCTGTTGTGTTCACGTACAATAACTTCTATTACTAGGGAAGCGAACAGTGTAGGTGCTCAACAATCTCCTGTACTTATGGTATCCCTCTAGACTATAAGAGTTTAATTCTCAGAATGCATAGCAAAAGTAGAGTTAAGGTCCGTTACAGGAAAAAAATTGTTTAAAACCAGGAAATGCAGTGGTAAGGTGACAATGCCTTGCTTACGCAATGTCCACTCTGCTCCCTTTTGATCCCTGTTCTGAGGAGTTGGTCAGGGAGACTGTAGCACCTTAGTCCTCTTTCAGCCTTTTTGTCCAATCTGATATCTACCAACTAGCAGTATGTTCCCCAGTCCTGACTTAGAATGTGGTGGATGAAGAGACAATGGTAGCTTTTGATAGGATGGATGTGGTAGTCCATTCCTATTTGAGGGAAAACTCTACCTGGGGACCCTTTGACCAAATGACCTTCAGATTTGCACCACAACAGGCCCTGTGTCTTCAAGTGGTATAGCAATTTTCAAGGCCCTCTGCCTATGGATTTTAGAGCATTTTTAAAGTTGGCTTTAAACAGAAATCCTGCTACAACCCTAATTAGCGAGTTGCTCCCATGCATCCATAATCAGTTTGTTTACAAAGTATCTTTAATCGTTCTGGATGAAAGGTACCATATACATTTAAAATCCTCCACCATCACCCCCACCCCCACCATTTCCCTGGGAAACTTCTCTCAGGAAGCTAGTTTCATAGGTGGAGAAACTGATTCTATGTTAAGGAGTACTTGTGGCACCTTAGCGACTAACCAATTTATTTGAGCATAAGCTTTCGTGAGCTACAGCTCATTTCATTGGATGCTGTAGCTCACGAAAGCTTATGCTCAAATAAATTGGTTAGTCTCTAAGGTGCCACAAGTACTCCTTTTCTTTTTGCGAATACAGAGTAACACGGCTGTTACTCTGAAACCTGATTCTATGTTGGAACTAAGTGACACTATCTATAGTCCTTAAATTGGAAGTGATTTCATTGTCTGTAATACCACATTACACCACAAGATGTCACAACAGGACCCACAATGAAATACTTAACAGGTTTCAGAATAACAGCCGTGTTAGTCTGTATTCGCAAAAAGAAAAGGAGGACTTGTGGCACCTTAGAGACTAACCAATTTATTTGAGCCTAAGCTTTCGTGAGCTACAGCTCATTCATCGGATGCATCCTGTGGAAGTGAGCTGTAGCTCACGAAAGCTTATGCTCAAATAAATTGGTTAGTCTCTAAGGTGCCACAAGTACTCCTTTTCTTTTTAATGAAATACTTGTTGCTACTCAAATCTAGGATATAGAATCATAGAATATCAGAGTTGGAAGGGACCTCAGGAGGTCATCTAGTCCAACTCCCTGCTCAAAGCAGGACCAATCCCCAACTAAATCATCCCAGACAGGGCTTTGTCAAGCCTGACCTTAAAAACTTCTGAGGAAGGAGATTCTACCACCTCCCTGGTTAACGCATTCGGTGTTTCACCACCCTCCTAGTGAAAAAGTTTTTCCTAATATCCAACCTAAATCTCCCCCACTGCAACTTGAGACCATTACTCCTTGTTCTGTCATCAGCTACCACTGAGAACAGTCTAGAACCAATCCTCTTTGGAACCCCCTTTCAGGTAGTTGAAAGCAGCTATCAAATCCCCTCTCATTCTTCTCTTCCGCAGACTAAACAATCCCAGTTCCCTCAGCCTCTCCTCATAAGTCATGTGTTCCAGTCCCCTAATCATTTTTGTTGCCCTCCGCTGGACTCTTTCCAATTTTTCCACATCCTTCTTGTAGTGTGGGCCCCAAAATTGGACACAGTACTCCAGATGAGGCCTCACCAATGTCGAATAGAGGGGAATGATCATGTCCCCCCTACTTATACATCCCAAAATGCCATTGGCCTTCTTGGCAACAAGGGCACACTGTTGACTCATATCCAGCTTCTCGTCCACTGTAACCCCTAGGTCCTTTTCTGCCGAACTGCTGCTGAGCCATTCGGTCCCTAATCTGTAGCGGTGCATGGGATTCTTCCATTCTAAGTGCAGGACTCTGCACTTATCCTTGTTGAACCTCATCAGATTTATTTTGGCCCAATCCTCTAATTTGCCCAGGGCCCTCTGTATCCTATCCCTACCCTCCAGCGTATCTACCTCTCCTCCCAGTTTAGTGTCCGCTGCAAACCTGCTGAGGGTGCAATCCACACCATCCTCCAGATCATTTATGAAGATATTGAACAAAACCGGCCCAAGGACTGACCCTTGGGGCACTCCACTTGATACCAGCTGCCAACTAGACATGGAACCATTGATCACTAACCATTGAGCCCGACAATCTAGCCAGCTTTCTATCCACCTTATCGTCCATTCATCCAGCCCATACTTCTTTAACTTGCTGGCAAGAATACTGTGGGAGACCGTGTCAAAAGCTTTGCTAAAGTCAAGGAACTACACATCCACCGCTTTCCCCTCATCCACAGAGCCAGTTATATTGTCATAGAAGGCAATTAGATAAGTCAGGCATGACTTGCCCTTGGTGAATCCATGCTGACTGTTCCTGATCACTTTCCTCTCCTCTAAGTGCTTCAGAATTGATTCCTTGAGGACCTACTCCATGATTTTTCCAGGGACTGTGGTGAGGCTGACTGGCCTGTAGTTCCCAGGATCCTCCTTCTTCCCTTTTTTAAAGATGGGCACTACATTAGCCTTTTTCCAGTCGTCCGGGACTTCCCCCGATCGCCATGAGTTTTCAAAGATAATGGCCAATGGCTCTGCAATCACATCCGCCAACTCCTTTAGCACTCTCGGATGCAGCGCATCCGGCCCCATGGCAGAGGGGCATTGCTGGAACATGATGGCCTATATCACATTGGTAGATGTGCAGGTGAACAAGCCCCTGATGGTGTGGCCGATGTGGTTAGCTCCTATGATGATGTCCCTTGAATAGATATGCGGACACAGCTGGCAACAAACTGCTTACTGTATATTTCACTCCATGCACCTGACGAAGTGGGCTCCAGCCCACGAAAGCTCATGCCCAAACAAACCTGCCAGTCTCTAAGGGCTTGGCTACATTTGCGAGTTACAGTGCAATAAAAGAGCCCCGGGCGCACTAGCTCACTACCTGTCCACACTGGCAAGGCACATAGAGTGCTCTGACTCTGCGGTACAGGGCTGCTGGTACTCCACCTCGGCAAGTGGAATAACATTTGCTGCGCCCCCGATGGAGCGCCGCGGCGCCAGTGTGAACGAGGTGTTGCATTACTGCGCTCTGATCAGCCTCCGGAAATGTCCCATAATCCCCTTAAGTCAAGTGCCCACTCTTGTCATTGTTTTTGAATCGCTGCAGGAATGTGGATATGCCCTTTGAAAGCTCCGTTTCTGACAACCGGCTACTTATCTGCTCCGAGACAAAGCAAGCCATTAGTGTGGAATGCTGTGTGTGTGACAGAGAGGCTGGGGAAAGGGGGCGGGGTCTGCTGCTGTCTGAACTTACAAGACAGCATGCTGACATGCTCTCAGCCCCCCCAAAACCCATTCTCTCTCCCCCCACATACACACAACACACTCCCTGTCACACTCCACCCCTCCCCCATTTGAAAAGGATGTTGCAGTCACTTGCATGCTGGGATAGCTGCCCATAATGCACTGCTCCCAATGCCATTGCAAGTGCCACAAATGTGGCCACGCCAGTGCACTTGAAGCTGTCAGTGTGGACAGACTGCAGCGCTTTCCCTACTGCGCTCTCTGAAGGCTGGTTTAACTCAAAGCGCTCTACATCTGCAAGTGTAGCCATGCCCTAAGGTACCACAAGGACTCCTCGTTGTTTTTATGTGGGAATTGTAAC